ACGATGACTTGTACTATAGATAAATGTACACTAAGGGCTTGTATTGGGACAAATGAACGTACCTCTTGGGACAAGTGAAGGCACCTTCTGTGACCTTATTTTGTATATCTGAAGACACCTCTTGGGACAAATGAAGGCACCTTCTTTTTTTGTATATCTACTGTTACTACTTTATTAAAGATACCGATAGGATGCCCTAGGGTAAATGTTCAGCGTCCATGAGGTTCCTGTACTGCTCCTGGCAGAGAGTTGAGCGAAAACTGAAGCTACTGATTCCTAAACCCTAAACCCTAAACAAATTGATGAGTTCTGGCAGGGTCATCATGTTATGTATCCTAGCATGTCATGCATAATGGTTGTTGGACATGTAATCTCGTCTAAACCACCCCTTGATGGGGGGTTAATTAACACACGCTTAGAGGAGCGAGCTGGGTCGATGCTGTACCCCGAAACCAACCACCGAGGACGTGTGAGTGCCCAAATGGCGGGCTCGGTTCTGTTCCTGCGTATGGGCTGGCTCCCATGAAAAGTGCATGTGCTGATCGTGAGTGGAATGTGGTGCTGCAGCTTGGATGTGTTTACTTGGAGAAAAAGCAGAATTGCTCCAGCTTGGATGTGTTTGCTTGGAGGAAAAGCAGCAAGTTCCATGAGCAATACCTGTGATCTCCTTTTGGTTTCAATTGACTTCTTCTTGCCTAGGCTACCAGGGGGGGTTGACCAAGCACCCGTGCAGGTTGCCCGACTGTCCGCTCGCCTGTGGTACCCGATAAAAACTCCAGGATTTTTTTCTTTCCGTATGTGGGGCTTTTCTTTGCCCACGGAAAGCAGCCGTGGTTTTAATTGACTTCCTGCCTAGGCTACAGGGGGAGCTCGACCTGGTACCCGTGCAGGTTGCCCGGCTGTCCGCTCACCGGGGGTACCTCATAAAAAACTCCAGAACTTTTCTGTTGGTGGGGCTTTTCTTTGCCCACCGAAAGCAGCATCTGGGGCTTTCTTTCCTTTTTCAGTCTTTTCGGTTTGGAGGGTTGGGCGAAGTGGGGTATAGACAGGGCTTAAAGGGGTTTAAACTTCAAAGGGGGGGTGCCTTACTGGTTGGTGTCTTTTTTTTTAAAATCTTCGATTCAGTAAGGAATTCTAAGGTCGCCATCAGCCAAAAAAGTTGTCTGCTTTGCAATTCTACGCAATACAGTTTTTCTCCCGATTCTAAGGTGACCATCAGCCAAAAGTTTCCTTGGACACCACTCGAAGGTCCGGCGCAGCTGGGCGGTCGAGCGTGTGTGCGGGCACAAAATTTGTGCCCATGGAAAAACAGCCCAGCTTATTGCATGCGTCCATCAAACACATGACGTGCTTATGCACTGCTGGCAAACAAATCATAGTCGGTGCCAGTCTAGATTTCTCCCTGATGTCTTCCCCTCTCCTCGGTCTGATGATGTGACAGGTGTAACATTGTCTTAGAGCCAGGAGAAAATGCGCATTTGTTTTGTATACCTTAGAATCTCTGAGGCAATTTGGAAGGGGTGAGGTGCACGACCCCGAGCCTGTGTCCAAAGAGTTAATTGCTGTGCTGATTCAAAATCTCCTCTCTTTTGTGTCACAGGCAGCATGGTGAGGTTTGTGCAGAGAGAGAGAGAGCTGATTCAAAATCTGTTCTCTTTTGTGTCACAGGTCGCATGATGAGGTTTGTGCACACACACACACACACACACACACACCTGTCTCTTATACACATCTAGATGTGTATAAGAGACAGGTATGAGGTCGTGTTGATTTGACTGGGCAGGAGTTGGTTGTGGTTGCGGTCCGAGACTGTCTTGATTTGGGAGGGGGAAATCGGTTTGGGAGGGGAAAATGGGTACCATGCCCGGGGCAGGTCTGAGGGTAGGTGGTGGTGGCCTTCTTGCCCAATTGGTGTCTTCTTGCCACCAGTTTTTCCAGTGGAGACTTTGGTTGTCATCTAAAGATGCGAGCTTCCTGTCAGGATCTAGCCAAGTTTGTTCAAATGTGGTTATTTGTTGACGGTTCTTTGCAACATCCGTCATGGACTGTAGAGTTTCTTTCAGCTGTTTCCATGCTTGGTGAATGTTCGATCAGATAGTGTCAATGATGTATGCTTTTGCTTGTGGGAAGCCGAACGTGTGTTCCATCCGCTCATGGGAACAGCGAGCTCTCCAGGCTGTCATCATTATTTCCAATCTGGTGTAATTGAAGAGTGTGGATTGGAAGGTGGACCAGTTGCATTGGTCGGTCGTGGGCAGGCCCAGCAATAATGTCCTGGAGACAGGTCACGACCGGGTCCTTTCTGTTTTGGGCAACAAATGGGTGAGCGGTGTGACCTAGAGGTGCTTTATAAATGCAAATTCAGATACGTAAAATTTGCGAAAACGCATGTTAGTGTGAGTATGCCCTGAGTTCAATGGGATTCGAATTGAGGGCATACTCACACTACCACGTAAAATCGCAAATTATACGTACATGAATTTGCAATTATATGGTACTGCCTGGTCACACTGCACACCAGTATACGTCACAAAACAGAAAGGACACAGTCTCGGGCTGGTCTCCAAACACGATTATACGGGCCAATAAGTCACACAGAGTGATGCATAAAACCGGCTCCCTTTTTCTGTTTTTTTTTTTCCCTTTCTTTCTTTCTTATAGGAGTCTGCCCACCAAAGCGAACGGGGCATTGTTTGAAAATAAAGCATCCTGCTGAAGCAGTGCCGGCCTCAAGGGTTTGTAGTCCTTACGCTGCAAGTGTCGGGGCGTGGAAGGCGGCACGTTAAAGGTACTATACGGGCAAGGGAGAGGGGGGGCAGGGGGGTGGGTTCAGACTTAGCAACGCATCAGCTCTGATGTATTACGTTCTTTATGGTCACGATCGCTGGCTTCTGTCCAAGAACTGAGGTAACAGGCGTCATTGCTGTGCCACGGATCAGCACATAGACTTAGGTGGCGATGCCTTCACTGTCAATCACCACGTACGGGTAGTTCGTGCTCATTTTTGTACAGTCGTAAGCCTGCCTATTACTTCCTTCAATCACCGTCTGAGAAAACGAATATAGATGGCTGTCTATAGTGGTTGCAAGTGCGCCAGGCAGTGGGGGTGCGCTGGCTGTGCAAGTCAATAGCCTCGTTGGTCCCGTCTCTGTCCGTGTTTTTTCCCTGTTCGCAGGCTCAGCAAAGTCGTTGCCACCAATTGCATCCGGAGTGTCTGCTCGAAGGTTGTGCAAGTCGTTCCTTTTTTTCCTCATTTTGCCCATACTGGGTCGCAAACAACGCTCGTATGCATTCATTAACAGGGTGCATTACGGTTGGGGGAAGCACGTTCGTGTACGGTGACAGAAAAAGTTCGAAAGAACGGCCAAATGCATTGGCGGGGATTACCGCACATGGCCACACCGCAGGCCTTTGATTGATACTGTGGGGGGGGAAAGAAGATAAAAGGAGGGGGCGGAAGTAGTGCGCAAGGAGGGCGCAATCAGGCCGAAGGTCGGGAGCTTTCGGGGGAAATGGGGGGTGGCAAAGGGGATGCCATGCGGAGAGGAGCGGAAGGCAGGGGAGTGGCATGCGCATGGGGGGGAAATGGTGGGCGGCAGGGCGGGGCTGGGATGACGAGCAGGGAGTGGCGGAGCATCGAAGTGAGAACGGGTTTGGACTATGTGGCAGGCCTGGCAGAAAAAGTCCAAACCCGTTTTGGCTTTTGCTAAAATGCACGCGTGCCCTGTGTGACCAGTCCTCGTGCCCGTATTTTGGCAAAATCGCATTCTTGGACCGTGCACTTGATAAAACGAAAACCTCAAATGTGCGCATGCCCCGGTGACCAGTCCTTGTGCCCGTATTTTGGCAAAATCGCATTCTTGGACTGTGCACTTGATAAAACGAGTTGATTTCACGTAGATTTTTACTTTTTGCTTCCAGAAAGAAATAGGTCTGAATGAAATATGCAATTGCAGAGACCTCCAGAGGTCCCCGCAAAATACATGACCCCGCGGCTCTTCAGGCCCCTGACATTTACATGCCCATTTGCGTGAAAACGCAAAATACGTGCCCTGTGTGACCCCAAAAATTTATGCCAAAAATTTACGATTATATGAAAATAGTGTGAGTATGCCCTGAGCTCTGTATTTCAGCAGTTCATCTTCATAGGTGTACCAACTGAACTAGCCCGTTGGTACTTCCCAAGTGTTTTCACCCTTAGCTGAAGATACACCCGCCAATTTTGTGCACGTTTGGTGAGAAGTGCAGCCGAGGCCCCCTCACCTGATGCAAAAGTCATCATCTTCAGGGCGACAACCAAGGCCCCAGAGAAAATGGGCCTCACCACACTACTCCCAACTTGGCCATTTTCGGGAGTGCAGCGTTGCCACACCAGCTCCCTAGTTCAACCTGTCAAATTTAAATTTGGGAGCTGTCGGAATTTGGCTCCCGAGAGCACTCCCCGAATCGCTTGGAGCCTCCCCCGCCTGTAAAAGGCCATTTTTGGGAGACCCCTCGCCGAGGCCTGTGTTTCGACCGGAGAACTCGTGCGCAGACAAGCATTCTCCTCACAGTTTCATCTCCACATGCTGGACAGTCTCTGTTCGAAGTGCGCCTCCAAGCCTCCAAATCGGAGAGCGCCCCAAGCCTCCAAATCGGAGAGCACCCCAAGTCGGGAGTCCAGAGTGGAGAAGTGCACTCCCGAATGGATTTTCGCACCTTCCGACGTTCGGGAGTACCCGAAACTTTTCTCCAAGTGGGGAGTAGTGAGGCGAGGCCCAATGTCTCCAACCCAGGTGTAGTGAAAACGTTTTCTCTACATAGAAGACGGACACAGAAAAAAGGCACCAAAAAGAGAGAACAGACAAATCACACACACCAAAAAGAAAAACACATAACAGACACACACGCACACACACCCCAAGCCCCCCAAAAATCGCGGACGATTGCTAACAAATCCATCCCTCTCCCTCCAAACCGACATCCCAAACAACAGTGTACCCCAGCCCATCATTCTGCAATTGTGAATCAAAATTTTACTACTGAAAAAAAAACAAACTGGTGAGCGTCAAACTACCGTGTTTCTTTCAGCCGCAGCACTGCTGAGAGATGAGTTAAACAGCGGACGTCCACACCCTCCTCCTCCTCCTCCTCCTCCTTTACGAGCTAGGAGCCGCCTGAGTATCTCTTCCCTCTCCTGCCGAAGCAACCGATCAACAACGTCCTCCGTCTCCCGCTTGTGCCTCAAGTAGAACTCGGCCGTCATGATCTGTCGTTGATCAACGGTCAGATCGCCATGAAAACCTTGGCGCGCAATGCGATCCTGCACGGCATGGTACATAAGGATGGCCGCCGCTACAGAAATGTTGAGGCTCTCCACGAAACCACCCATGGGAATGCCGCACCTGAAGTCGGCCATAGCCAAGGCTTCATCGCTGACTCCCAAGTGCTCGTTGCCTAAGATGATGGCGGTCGGGACCGTCCAATCTACCTGATCCAATCGTAAGGTCTTCGACTCGTCGGTCATCATGTGAGTTACCCCGATTCTGTACCCCCTGGCGCGGAGCGCGCCCAAGCATCCACGTGTGGAGTTCCACACCTCCACATCTAGCCACTTGTCTACCCCTTTGCTCACCTTCCGGTTCTTCTTGTACCTAACTTTACACTCTGGATCCGCGATTACCCCAACCGACTGAAAGCCAAAAGCTTCGGCACTTCTGAACACGGCCGCGACATTTCCAATGTCGGACAGACCCTCCACCACGGGAATCAACGAGTACGACCGGTCCTTCACCACTCTTCGAATGGTCTCCTTCCTCTCTTCCACCAAGAACGAGTCCAGAATCCGAATGATGTCCGAGCTACACAGAACTGAACCATCTCTCGTAATAAACCGGTCCACGTATGGAAACCATCCTCCTCCTCCTCCTCCTCCTGCTGCTGCTGCTGATGATGATGAAGATGAAGATTGCATTTTGGTGCCATCTGCTCTTCCTTTGTCTCGATCCTCTCCTTCTTCTTCTGCAGCAGCAGCCCTGTCGATGGCGACAACAGGCATGCTGACCTCCATTCGAGGTCCCCTCAGGACTCCACCTCCTTCTTTCACCCCTCCTTCTCCCGTTCTGACCCTGTTATTATTTCCATCACTACAAATGACGGACCCGTCACGAGCGGAGAATGTGTTCGAATCATCCTTCATCGTCGTGTCTGCGTCTTCCGCCGCCTTTCTTTTAGGCCCACCTGCAAGATTTTCTTCGCCTTCACTGCATCGTATCCTCCTTCTTCCCACCTCCTCCTCCTCACCGTTATCTTTATCGTCGTCATCGCCCTCATCATATACAGGATCTGCAACCACTCTCCCTAGCCGACTACCCCATATCGATTCCAAAGTTTCCTTCTCCTCCTTTTCTTTCTCCTGCCTATGATCACCATTATCATTTCTCTCTCCTCGCACCAGGAATGCCCTTTCCATATCCAAAGCTGGATCGAGAAGCAGCCCCTTCACTGCTGCCACCTCCGAGACATTATACTCCAGCCCGCGACGGCTGCCCTTCCCTCTCGTTGATCGTTTCATGCCGCCATCGCCACTTTCACCGTTTGCCTTCTCCGTTCTTTCCACCATAGCCGGACCTTCACCATCATCGGACGATGGAGGACATTCCCTTCCCGCATGGTGCTCACGATCAGTGGCTGCCGTACGAAGAACAGCTTGTCCGCCCCCAACACCAGTCCTGGGATTGACGATCGTGGGCCACGGGTGTCGCCGCCAAGACGGCGAAGCTGGTCCGAATTTGGGTCCATGACGTGGACCAAGCCCTACCTCACATTTCGGCGGCTCCGAGCCTCTTCCTCTTCCCGCTCTCGATGATGGTACCAGGCCGCCGCAACCACGTGGCGTTCGTCCGAATCCACCTGCGAAGGATCTTTTGTCGTTTCCTGCCCACTGACTACCTGATCCGGATCCCCATCCCGATCGGTATTCCCGACAACGGTTCCTTTCACACTGGATCAAGTTCCGTAGCCGCTCGTGAGCCAAGCTGCTCCGCTGCCATTCGAAATTAGCAAGAGGGTCGACGCCAATAAATTCGGGCACGTGGCGATCGTCAGCCAGCAGAGCCCCGTCTGCTAGAACGGAACGCCGCGCATCCTCCCGCCCGCTTGGCCGACACCATGCCGAAGATTGCTGCAAAGCGCGCCAACGCAAGATCGACGACAAGCCGTGACGTTCGTCAGGCCACAGCCTCACTGACGCCAATCCGATTCGCGCACCGGCCACCATCGTGGACAAACCTTTGATTAACTCATTCATTCATCATTGAATCTACGATTGCCACGTGTCCATCCAATCAATGATGATGATATACCGGTAGTCACAGTAGGTATGGCAACGAGCTCTCCGATCCTATTGGTAGGTTAACAATATCTGCTGGAGCATTTTCGACCTCACTGCCAACCACTATGGAAGGGACACGTGTCACTGTTACAACCCCCGCGTCATCCCAATAAATTGCAGCACCAACGCAAACGAGGCATGAGCACAACATCAGACCCCTCCCCGGACGCACTTGACCTGTCGCCAAATGGACGTCTGCGAAGGTGCATAGGGCCTCGCCGTGCGACTCACCAAATGCAAGAAGGACAAAAACTACAAAAACTACGGCGCGTGACACGTTCCAACCACGTTCGTTGGCCGCGTGCCCTGGCCCCCAGCGTTGGGCCTCGTTCGACACCACTTGAAAGTACTTCTGAGTTTCAAGGGCGCCCTAACACGGGACTTCGGATTAATTTCCCCTAACTGCTCTTCTCGTTCCACAAACACTTGAGACGGCCGCCCTTGAGATCGAAGTGCCTAAGGGCGTCTTTAGACACTCCTTACGAGTTCCTTGAGCCGTAAGGGAATTTGGCGGGGTTGTTCCGCACATCCTTGGGGACGTCCCCCGTTTCCTTGTGGCCTGCCCGCGGCCATTTTCATATGAAGATATGCGGCCGCGGCCGGGGGTGTCCGTGGTCCAGTGTCCGGTGTCCATGTGGAGACGGCGTGGACCAGTGATGTCCGACGGAAAAGGGCATGAGGCAGGCCACAAAAATAAAAACAAAAAAAGGGGACCTCTACGTTTGAAATTCAAAATTTGAAGTACAGCTGTGGTGACGACGACAACGGTCGGCTTGCAGCGCGCAGACGGTGCAGGGCTGAACTGGCCTTAGCGGCGGCGGCCCTTCAGCTCACCTCCCGGTCAGTGTACGTGCGTGCACTGGGTGTGTCCATCACCGTCGAGCTTCTCCTCCACATCGTCCGCACCGTCACACGCTGTTCCGCCAGGGGGACGACATCCACGGGAAGGCGGCAGCTTCTCGGACCTCTCCTTGGAGGGTGAGCGGGTTACATCTTTGGGGTGCGAGGATTGAGACGGCAGCGGAGAGACGTCATCCCTATGGAGGTGGTGGCGATGGAGAGCGGGGGAGAGGGCGGATGTGCGCTGTTGACACCGCTTGAGCGGCCGTGTCAACCGTTATTCTTCGTTGTCAGCAGGAGAGGGTGCTGGGACAAATGAAGGAGCAGTTGCACGCACGTAGAAGAAGGACGCTGATGCAAGCTGCAGATGACGGCCCTGACTACACGGCAACTTCGGAGGCTGTCATTGAGCGTTGTGCTACACGTTGGGTTGCAGCGTCATTCCACGAGCGGCACCGAGGTGGTGGATCAAACTCAGGATGGGGGGGACGTGGGAAGACCTTCGACAATATGACGATGCCACGGATGACTACTTCAACGAGAAGCAGCACAGCGCCGAGGAGTAGTAGAGGGACCACCAGAAGCAGCACAGCGACGAGGAGCAGCAGAGGGAGACTGTGGTACAGGTCAGCCATGAACTGCATGGTGGAGAGGGAAGCAATGAGCACACGACGGCGGAGAAGGCAAGAGTCTTATCGGACGTCCAGCATGTGACGACATGCATGGGAATACGACGCTAGTGAAGAAACCTCTTTTGTGGATGGACTGAAGGCACCGCCAGGAAAAAAAAAAAATTTCGACCGTTGATGCCAACCGAAAATGACGATACCGCCCGATGGAGGCCCACTGCCAACAGTAGCCGTTTGGGGGCGTTGGGGGACTACGCGTACGTTCCTTGAGCGCGTGAGACCACATGATGCCGGTAAAAAACAACGACGCTGTGACGCCCAAACCTCACGCTCAGCACGACTTCCTGATCGGAGTAGGATGTGGGCCTGGAAGTGCGAAAAGGGGTGTGCCAAGGATTTTTGGGAAAGTGGAGTCCCAGGTCGGAACTGAGATCTCCTGTGGCAGGGTTTTTCGGGGGCACGAGTGCAATTTGGCGGAGAGGGCGTACCGCCTCTGGTTACAAGGCAGATGGTATGTGCGGGTCGCTCAAGGCCGAGCGAGCCATTGGTTCCGGGGACGGCGGTTCGCGGGCGGGTCCCTTCGGAGTAGGTGGGGTTCCGATGAGTCAGGCTGTCGGGAGTTGCCACGTGGCGCTGGTCGTCAAGCGTTCGGGTTAGGCCTCCGGAATTCCGGGGTTCTCTGATCGCCGCGTCGTCGACAATTCCGACAGGGTGCTGGGCCAGTAGGAGGCTATGGCCGGCCACGGGACGACGCTGAGTTGATGATACGGAAGAAGAAGGCGAAAGGGAGGGAAACTGGTGGAGATAACAACAAATCCGGGAAGGGTGAAGTAGTAGGTGTGGTCCGGAGAGGGGAAATCAGAGCACCGGGGGTCGTTGGTAATGGCGCAGTGAAATTCCCGAGGACACAGTCGGTTCTCGGTTAGGCAGGGGTATCTCTGTCGGAGGAGCTCGTTTATCAAAGGGGTGAAGTAATCCGGGTCGTATGATGAGTCTGAATCCCAAGATCGTGTCATCGTGTCATCGTCGAGTTACAAGGTGTCTGAGGGCCGGTCCTTGTCGAAGGCGATCACCACGTGCAAGCACGTGCAAGCCGCGCAATCAAGTCGCGCCTACTCGTGCTTGTACATGACGATGGCTTCGTCACTAGACGCAGAATTGCCACGTTCGATCAGACAATATCCCCACAATTGCTAATTTCTTTTGAGATTTGACGAACCGATGCACAAGAGCGCGGGCAAGTGCGCAGATCAAGTCGCGTGGTGTTCACTCCGTGTATGCAAGATGCACCCAATGCAACAGCCCGATCAAGAGACCAACAAAAACGAGAGCAGAATTGCCGATTGCGCAAAGACTCTTATCCTACTTACGAGTGCATTAATCAAAAGCAAAGGCAAGGATTCCGACAGAAAGATAACTAACCAAACATTGTATCCATACATTCATTCATTCAGCAACATGCACACAGTACATCTGAGATGGAATCACAAAGAGAAGTGCGAGCAAAAATCCAAGTCCGAATTCCGATAAATAGAAAAACGGGCAAGCTGCCCGGAGCCGAAATCAAAATTTATGCACACGAGGCAGGAGGGAGAAAAGATAAAAAAAAACAGCAAAAACGTGTCCATCAACCTCAACTCTCCTTTCCTCTCTCTTCTTCTCCGATGCGGACAGTCCGTCGTCGCGCACCAACCCACGAAGTCGTCACCCCGCTTAGTCCTCCCGCACCCGTCAGGTTCGCCCGCGCCCACAGTCCGTCATGGCCCGCGTCAACCCTGCGCGTTTGGCACTAGCTCGTCGGGTCGCCCGACTCCTGCTCTACTCACCTCTTACTTCGCTCGTGTGTCGACCCTCGCTGATCGCGCAACCCCGAGCTTCCAAGAGCAGATTAAGAGAGTTAACTAATCGTGCCGCCGAAATTTATAGCGTGCATGCATGCGCGAAAAACACGGAATTACAAGGACTTAGGAGGGTCAAAGGAGGAGGGATTGCCTACGTCTGCATGGCCCGATCGCGGCGTGGGGGACGTAGCCGCTCTCCACGCACAGATCCGATCATGCAGACCGCGGCTACCAAAACAGAGTAGAAAGAAAAGAAAGAAGAGCGGGAAAGACGAAGCGCAAGAAGAAGGATACAGTTACAATGGCGCCCGCCTAAAATTACAATTACACACACGATTAAAGGCGCCAACTAATCAGAGTTCCGTTGCAGCCGCATGAAGAAGCGCGTAAACAAAAAGCACCGCGCGGCGAAGGAAATCCTAATTACAAAATTCCTAAATTCCTGTCTAATGCGAAAAAGCACAAAGCACAAGCTTCAGAAAGAAGAGTCCGAAATTCAGAGAGCCATAAAGGCTCGACAAAATTCAAAAAAGAATTAAAAGAAAATTCAAAAGGAACGAAGCAAATTCCCGCGCGATGTCCGCGCCCAAAAGATCGAAACCAAAACAAAAGAGACGACGTCAACATTTATTAGTCGTGCGCACGGCGGCGCGCCAGCCATTCGGTCAACCAATCAATCAACCGGCCGTCCTAGGACACACCCAGCTCCGAACCCAGCCATTCGAAAATAAGCGACGAAAAATACGAAAAAGCAAGGACACTGATGCAATTTCCCACCGATCCCGACCTTCCGTAATTGGCCCAACCTTCCCTGCTTAGGACCCCTCGTTGTAGCTGCGGTACAGAAAGTGGTTCGTCACAACGCCACCCGATGGAGGCCCACCGCCAACAGTAGCCGTTGGGGGACGTTGGGGGACTACGCAGACGTTGGAGGGCGGGAAGACCCATTCCCGTTATCGCGCCGCAGCCTTAGGGGGTCGGCCAAGGGAAGGTCCGATTGTTGCTGAATGGCTGGGCCCCAATTCATTCGGCATGACACAAAAGAAAAAACAAAAATCAAATACACAAAAATAAAAAAAGAAAGAAAACCAAAGAAAAAAAACTAAATCACGCCGGAGAGAGAGAGAGAGAGAGAGAGAGAGAGAGAGAGAGAGAGAGAGAGAGAGAGAGAGAGAGAGAGAGAGAGAGCTGAGAAACGGGAATGCATCTTCCCGCAAAAGCGGGAAGACCCATTCCCGTTTTTGTTTTTCAAAAGGCATGAGAGAGAGAGAGGGTTTCACGGGAAGATCCATTCCCGTTTTGTTTTTCGAAACACACGAGAGAGCAAAAGCGCGCGCGCGCGCGCGCGCGCGCGCGCGCGCG